ATGGCATAAGTGCGGATATAGGAGACGTTCATTCTAGGAAAAAACACTTACTGCTGACGAAGCCTCGAAAACCACTCAGCTACAATGGTACGTTATTGATAAATTCTTCCTTTGAGCGGAAACACCGATCTCAACTCAGCTTTAGTGAGGTGTTGGGCTCTGGTAGACTAATTATCTCTAAACTATTTTAATCATATACTGGTGGTGTGGTTGCTATGGTCACAAAATAATGTTTATACATTGTTTAGTGCTGTGGCCTTCCTATGCTATGCCTTAATGTATGGCATAACTGACTAGAAGGCCACTAATTTACAAAAGGTTGTCTGACTTTTTCAGCAGTGTTCGCAACAGCTCAGGATTGAAACGGAGCAGAGCGGAAAACTAAAATCTGACTCATTTATGTGATTACCAATATGCAGACTCCCCCTCAGACTCTGTTAACCATTAGTTCTGCACGATTCTTAAATGAGCAAAATATCTTTATTTTGTATGACCTAAGGAAGAACCTCCATCTGTACGTATTACATATATTTTTGGAGCATCACTCATTTTTTACCTCTTAGGAGACGTGACTCTTAGGTGGTGACGAGCTGGGACGAGGGAAAGGGAGAGGGTTTGATTCCGTACAGGTGTTTGTGTCACCGAGCATTAAATATGCAGAACAGGATCTTTACGCCGCACCGAATTCTATAACTTTTGACCGGTATTATTATTGTACCTATCAATCCTTCCCTACCCACGTGCTGCCAACCTTTTCTGTCTGCGCAAATAGATGCACAGACCAGCAGCTCAGCCATCGAAAAGAATTCCATTTATTCATTATATATCCCATCAAAAACAACAAATTTCATTTATTCATTCTGTCTCTCCTCTCTCAGTCCTCTTGCACGATGTGTGTCGAGCCTACCAGGCGGACCAGCTCCCTCCATCTCGGTCTGTCCTGGGCGAACCTGTCCTGTAGCGGTTAAAATGTGAGCACAACTGATGTATTTTTTCTTACCATTTTCGATACGTGTCGCTAGATGTCACTGTTGACATGTCAACCTGCTGTATACCACGTTTATATACTTTCTATTGCGGTGCTATACGTCAAGATCATAATTACATTATTATTATATAGCTAGCAAATCTGCCAACAAAAGCCTCAAATTGTCTTAATCAAACAATAACTTTATTTAATTATACGCATATATGCATATATTATACGCATATATGTGTTGATTTAACATAACAATATGCTATTTACTCAAAGATCGCAAGATGTAGCTTTTAACACGGCGGTATTCAGCATATAGGTAATATCCCGGGTGTAGAACGTAATACTGCCAGATAATTATCTTCACGTGATACAAAATATAAAGAACTGCAGAACTGCACATTGGAATATTTAGGCCGATCTGAACATCGGAAACCCGGCCAATTGTGGTTTTACACTGTAGAGTAGCTCGGGACAGCAAAAAACCTGGGGCGAAAACGGAGCATCGGGCAGCCAACGGGAAATGTGCAGTTCTGCCAATGGATCAAATCAAATAAATCAGATCTTTCCACGACTCTTGCTGAGGGTAATTACAATGTAAGACCGAATCAAGAGTCGCCACGGCTATTGACACCGCTGTGTTCAGTCAGCATATAGCTATATCCCGGGTGTAGAACGTAATACTGCCAGGTAAATGTTTTCATCTTCACGCGATACAAAATATCAACAATTAGAAGGATATTAGACACACAGTCACAGGAAAGCAGTGTACCTTAAAACACTACGGGAAAGGCAATCAAGGGATAATTGTGGTTCGGCCGGCTGTTAAACAGATAATCAGACTGAGTAAAAAAGCGAGAAGAAGTTGACCACTCTGTATTAGCTCAGTAACTAGAACACTTTGTATTAGCCTAGTATAGTACCTTTGTATGTTCCTTATGTATGTATGCCTAATTCAAGTAGTGTATCTTCTGTCTTTTCTACATGCGTTTGTTATGTGTCTGTTAAGTCTTGACCTGTGCCTAGCCCGTCGTGACATGAATGTACAATAAAGGTCTTTCATTTCATTTCATTTCATTATCTAACAAGCCCACTACATCCAGACCACCGTAGGCTCCAGGTATCCCCTCGGTGCTGGGAGCACTGTCCGCCCGCCCAGGTACATACAGACGCGCCGGGGCCCGGATATTTGACGGATCGGTTTCAATTAGTTCCCCTCTACATTACTGCAAAAATCATTAGAAAGGAAGTATGAAGTGTGTCAGGAAAGGCCTGTGCTGTATAGTCTCGTATTTCAGTCCATCTGGGCCACGGAAACACGTTGGAGCCCCACAAAACGTCTGCTTGGAGATTAGCCATCACACCTGAACAACAGGCACAGCGGTCTTCAGTCGTCCATCGTGATCCAATTGACAGAAAAGGGGGCGTTGTTTCGGACGCTACGTGCCATCACACCTGAACAATAAGCCAGTGGAAATAATGACAGGTGAAATATTGCTATCGGACAAAAGTCGCGTCTTCTCTTTTCTTGATTAGAATGACAGAAAACGGGGTGTTGTTTCGGACGCCACCATCACACCAGGTCAACAAGACACAACCAGATACAATAGAGAAGAAATATCGACGCTTGCTTTTGGGGAAAAAAATTAAAGTCATGCGATCTTCTTTCATTTGTTTTTCTTGACTTAGCTAGTTGGACTTAGCTAGATCACCTCTCTCTCAGTTGCGTATGATCCCAGTGCATGCAAGGCCGGGTTTCTGGCTTACCAACAATGCTTGTCAATCAGTTTCTATATTCTTTGTATTCTATGTTTTGAGTATTTTAGCTAGCCTGGGTACCATCCTACTTGTATGCCGGGGCTCCCACACTCGCTTCCCTAACAAGTACTTGTTAGGGAAGTGAGTGTGGGAGCTCCGGCATATAAGTAGGATGGTACCCAGGCTATATTTTAGGGTATCGCCTTCATCCGTTTCATTTCTTTAAAACAATTAGCTCTCAGTGTGGGAGGGGGGAACAGTTTTCTACATGCTTTTCGTTATATTTTGGAGGAAATACTATGCTTTCAAACAATCCAATATTCACATGCAATTTTTCCTTATATCGGAGCTATTTTGGATTCATAGATTTGCAAGTGCATTGAAAACACAGAATTTTGTCACCAATACGGGAAGTTATTTGGAAAATGGGCCAACGAATGGGGATATAAGTTCTTACTGAATGCTAAAACTAGTGGTAAAAGTGGCGAAAACAGGGCCTGATAAATGTACTTAAATGTGTATGACAATGGCAAAACTCCTGTCGCACTGGAAAGCCAAGCGGGTCCAGCTAATTTCCACACACACACACACACAAACACACATACACACAAACACACACACATACAAACACACACACACACACGCACGCACGCGCACACACACACACACACACGCACGAGCGCACACACACACACACACACAGCACACACACACAGCATACACACACAGCACACACACACACACACACAGACAGACAGACACACACAGCACACACACACACAGACAGACAGACAGACACATACACACATATTGAGACACACAGAGAGTGAAACAACAACAGGACTTTTAAAAAAATCTTCAGAGTATGTCATCCGTGAAAATAAGTAGGTGTGGCCTGAATACCGGAAGACGTCTAATGTACCGACCAATTATCCATACGCATCACTGCTCCTCGAAATGACTATAATCACTTCTTGACACCGTATAATGGGTTTTAGTCCTCGTCAATGTAATTGTTTTGTTATGTATCCGTAAGTCTATGTACTTTTTATCCTCTACCCCTCCATTTCAGCAAGCAAATTGGACCGTATCTAGTATAAAAACTGAGATAGTATCCATAAGGTAATACCACAGGTCCAATTGAATATTGTGTTAAAAGTATCCAAATAGGAGTTTTTTTCCACCACCGCAAATTAGGACCCAGGACTTCTCACACCCTGGGGCACTGAGCAAATGTGGATACTGGGAATCGGTCCAAGTGATAAATAGGTTGTCATGATTCCTTGCAAGATATCTTCCCACGATGTTTTTGTCCTTATGCCAAATCAAACTGGTGAATTGATCTAAATTGACCAAATTCGGAAAGCTCAGATTCTACCAGTTCTCTCTTATCCCAAAAGTCGCCAAAACTAACAGACTAGACCCAAATATTCGAGAAAAGAAAAGGTTTTAATGATGTTTAATTATATATAATAATAAATTTTCATGTTTTACGTCAGTGCCCTGATGCCTAATCTGAGTTCAAAGGACAGTTGAAAGGACTTGGGTGCAATCAGCTTTGACATATGACTTGATAAAGGTCTCCTTCCATTTTAACTGAATTTTTTGTCAACATCTGGACTACTGTATTATCATGCCCATGTAGCTTGGGGCAGTAGTCTTTCTCTGTCAGTTAGCAATTATAGATACTGGTAATCAGTGATGGATAGATTGTCATGATTTTTGCAAGGTGTCTTCCCACGATGTTTTTGTCCTTATGCCAAATCAAATTTGATCTAATTTGACCAAACTGGGAAAGCTCAGAGCCTTCCTATTCTTTCTAATCCGAGAAGTCTCCAAACTACAAAACTAGACCAAACTATTCGAGAAAAGAAAGAGTTTCAATGATGTTCATACGTTTCATGTTGGGTTCTGTGCTGCGCCACGTGCAGTCAACCGTGACGTTATTCCTTGAGTTTGCAGTTCGGCTGATTTGAATTGATACCTTTTCAGACCCAACACTAATCGGACTTGTTACCTACTGACACCACTTCAGAACTAAACACGGTCTGATGTTTGTGCGGAAATAAAAAAAATAAGGCACGAAAAGCAAACACATGGAGAGCGATACACATTATCATTGCAGGTGTAAGGTACTTAAGTCATTATATCGGAATGCGCCTTAGGCTGGGGATTTAAAATGGGTGTTTGATACCTGCAACACAATACAACAGGTAATTACTAAATGCCAGAAGACTACAAATGCGCCAACCAATCAGGAGTACCAATTGTGCTCATCTGCATACGTTCAGTACGAAAGAGTATAAATTTGCTTCCCGTCTCTGTATTTTCATCAATCCATTCTGATATCTTCAGACGAGTCATCTGACGAGCCGAGGACTTACCTAAGGTATGTACTAAGTTACTCTACCGGCTAAACCTATCGGTGTGGTGTCTTTGCATGTGTTAACAGTATTTTAGATTTTATTTCTGGGGACCCCTCTTTATTCTTCACTACCCGGGAGGTACAAGGTAGACTCCCTGACTTGTGGACTTGCAAGCTCTCTTCGCGCTACCTCAGAAAGTCTGGCTAACAAAATTACCAGTATTCCTAACTGCTACGTGAGAAAATTGCTGCCACAAGCAACAAAATCTACGGTAGAACTGCTGATACATGTATGAAGTGTGCCATAGCTAACTGCATTGGACATGAAAAAAAATTGAGGTATTCAAAAACTCGTATTTCGCCAGAACTCAACAGACCACTCGCTTCACATGGTGGGACCAAGGTTGTCCAATCGTATACAAGGCACGCCACAAAACAGCACAAAGATTGAGGATCGCCGTCTTTAAATTTTTCAATAATCATGACTCTTAAATTCCCCTCAGTTGAAGCTGCACCATGAAGCTGTTTGTCTGCACCCTGATTGTGACGATGGTTGTCGTCGCCATGCTGGCTGACGATGCCGAGGCTTTCGGGCCGAGGAGGCGTTCGGGTTCCGCAAAGTTAACCAGCAGCTTGAAAGGTACGTTTGGACTTCGCTGAGTTTTTCCACAATCGAATGGGGTCGCTTTAACTTTGTCTTGCTTGTGCCTAGCTTTATTTCGTCTGCTAAGGATTCCTAAAAAACAATAAGAGCTGATAATTGCAGGCTGTCCATTGTCAAAAAGGAATCGGAATTAATTAGAAGCTATACACCCATATATATTGACATCCACATGATGCAAGTTTCTACTTTTCTTCTTAGCATGTTTCTATACATAGCAGACTGTATACTTCCCTAGTTATATATACATATACCTAACATTATGAATACAGTGATAACATCTTATCTGTAAAGCGCCTACAGAGTTGTACAGAATCGCAGCGTGACAGCCATATCATATGTCTGCACACATACGCATGAGAATCTCATATCTGCATTTCTTTGCCCATCCTTCCAGCGGCTGAGCTGAGGGAGGTTGTGGAAGAGGCAAGGTCGCTCCTGGATGACCTGGAGGAGACTGAGCAGCTGGAAGCCCGGGAGTTTGAGGACCTGAAGGAGGAAGACTGTAAGAAATCTCACTTTTTGCCCTTTTTTTCTTGTAAGACTCCAGTCTCTCCTTGCCCATTCAATTAACATGCAAGTTACTTGATTTACTGTCACCGTATATCTGGGTCCACATGTACACATTTTTAGGATGACTGTTATATGTAATAACAGATTAATGAGGGACATTTTCATTAATATTATTATAATCATTAAACTTTAAATGTTCGTTACTGAAAAGGTTTCACAAGACTGGGATATAATACTTGCTAATTAATTATATCTATATCTTTTTTACAGTCGTCAAGAAGCGCCGCTAACTCCTGTAACCTGCAGCCTACCAGACGAACGGAGTGCCCAGTGGTGCCAGATGGACAGGACTGGAGGCTAGCTATAAAGGTTGATGAATAAAATCGTGTAAAGGCAGTGTCTTGTTATTGTCCTTATTCATAGATACAGGGCTGTTCTTTTATGCTTTGATGCTGAGTTTTTCGTTGTGCAGTGTACCTTATTTCTCGCAACTTGTAATATCACTTGCCTTAGACAACATACCAATATAAGACCAACGACTTTTCATTATATAGGACAAGAAAGATATACTGTGTAAACGGGGTCTATTCATGAAAAACACCCATCGAATCCAGAAATACGAGGACGATTCTTTAAAGTTAAAAAAGAATACAGAAAACTGGTTAAAAAGAAAAAGCGAGACTTTCATCAACAAATAATGAATCAACTATCATCACTAAAAGAAAGTAACCCGACTGCGTTTTGGAATCTTGTAAATAAGCTAAAACCTGAAAAAATAAACGATACTGATCAAATATCAGATTCAGCGTGGTTAGAACATTTTAAAGGTCTTAACAAACACGCTGATGCTATCCGGGATAGTAACATGCGCGCTTCCACAGACAACGTGGACTTCTCCCCCCTCCCTCCCTCGCCGGAGAATTGTATATTAGACAGTCTGATAACAGAGGAAGAACTTGACATAGCAATATCCAATCTAAAAAACAAGAAATCTAGTGGGGACGATATGGTTCTAAATGAAATGTTGAAATGCGGGAAGACCATACTAAAGAAACCCCTTCTACATATTTTTAACTCATGTCTACAAAACGGTTACTATCCCAAAGAATGGTCACTAAGTCATATTGTACCTATACACAAATCTGGGGACACTTCACTTCCAGACAATTACCGAGGAATCTCCATAATCAGTTGTCTTGGTAAACTATTCTGCTCCATTTTAAATACCCGACTAGTTAACTATGCTGAACATTACAGCCTTCTCAAACCCCAACAGGCCGGTTTTAGGAAAAACTTCAGAACAACCGATAATCTTTTTGTACTGTCTACTTTAGTTAGCAAATATCTAAGTAAAAATGCACGACTATATGCCTGTTTTGTAGATTTTAGTAAAGCGTTTGATTCTGTTTGGAGAGATGGACTTCTACGAAAATTGACTGAACTTGGAATAGGAGGCAAATTTTTGATGACTATCAAAGACATGTATTCCAAAACAACAAATTGTATCAAAACTAGCCGCGGTCTTACCGAAACTTTCGTAACTAACTGTGGGGTTCGACAAGGCTGTAACCTGAGCCCAACACTATTTAATCTATACATTAGTGATTTAGCTAATGAGTTTAATGATCATTCTTGTAACCCCCCCATATTACATAATAAGAAAGTATCTTGTCTAGTTATACGCAGATGACTTAGTTATATTTTTCTGAATCTAAAACAGGGTACTACAAAACATCTTTAGATAGATTAGATATTTATTGTAAAACATGGAAATTGAATGTTAACTTAAAGAAGACCAAAGTAGTGGTCTTTACAAAGGGAGGCCGTATGCCAAAAGACTGTAAGTTTTTGTACAACAGCAATGTAGTAGAGATAGTTACAAACTATTGTTACCTTGGTATTGTTGTTAATGCAGCCGGTACGTTCAAGGCAAACAACAAACACTTATACAACAAAGGTCTGAAAGCACTGTTTGGAGTCAATCAATCTACTAAACAAAGCCAACGCGACAATATCTGTAAGAAACAAACTTTTTGACACATGTGTAAAGCCAATATTGTTGTATGGCTCCGAAATTTGGGGATCATTCAAAAGTCCAAAATCATCACCTATCGAAGCAGCTCATTTAAAATTCTGTAAACAATCTTTATACGTTCCCAGATCCGCCTGCAATCTTGCCGTAATGGCGGAATTGGGGCGTTATCCCCTCAAACTAGAAGCATCTCTGAACGCCATTAAACACTATATCAGAATACGCCAGAACGTGCCGGTTGATAGTCTCTCAGCAGACGCTCTATTGTGTCAACTTGAACTGGATGCATCCGGCGCTAAATGCTGGGCTTCGGGAGTCCGCAAGACGCTAGAGGAGTGTGGTTTTGCCTACGTATGGAATTCGCCGATGTCGTATGTCTTAAATTCTTCACAAATTATTCCATCCCTTGATCAACGTTTAAAGGACATGTATTTCCAAACTTTTACAGCAGAAATTCGTAACAACAACAAATTACAAACATATAGATTACTAAAAAATACTTACCACGAGGAAAAATATCTGAGAATTACAAACATTCGACACAGAACAGCCATCACAAAACTCCGGATAAGTTCACACAAACTCCACATAGAAAAGGGAAGACACAACCACATTCCTCTACAGCAAAGGATCTGCCAATTTTGTAATCTAGATTATATTGAAGATGAATACCATTTTGTAGTTGACTGCACATTATATAGAAACGAGAGGGATTCCCTCTATACTTATGTAATAGATAAGTTCCCAAGCTTTAGACATTTAGATAGAATAGAAAAATTTGAATTCCTCATGAAACTTGACAAACCATGTATAATTAGCTCAATATGTTCGTACATCTTTAACTGCGTCAAGAAGCGAGAAGAAGCTGAACCTGTAAATAGTAGATCGCATTAGTTTATATAGTATGTAAGTGTCATTACTGTTTTCTTTCCCCTGTTTACCCATGACCTGTACTTAGCTCGTTAGAGCACAAGCGTACAATAAAGGTCTTTCATTCAATAAACCCGACTGGAGAAAACGTGAATAGAATGGTCGCTTTTTATTTACATTTATTCTACTTAGTGAACAGCACAGACAGTTTAATCATTTATTTCATACTTCATAAGTCAGAATAAAGCCAATGCAGCAATAAAAAACCCCAAAACACCTACATGTGTATGTAACGACAGTACATGGACCTATGTAGGCTAGGTATAGGCAGTCCCCATTTTACCTGCACTCATCTACATATGCAGGTATTATTTCGAGCCCCGAATCAGCTATGTCATAGGAAGCGTTGATTAGAGCATATAGGGTGTACTGCCGTAGATTGTCGACCTGCTACCATGTACAGGTAACTTTGGGCGCTAATTTGTATTGTAAAAAGCTAGCGAATCTCATATACTGGGAGTCAGTCCAAAGGATAGCAAGGTTGCCGTGAATCTTTGCAAGATGTGTTTCAATGCACGTTTAGAAGGAATCCTACACGTATCTCACGATTTTGTTCTGATACTTAAACAGGCTGGTAAAATGGACAAACTTTGACTAAAACTTGAAAAGATCAGACCCGTTCTCGGTGATTTGTTTTGATGTAACTTTTCTACACCCACCAAAGCTTCTTGCCATAGGTATGTTTTGACAAAAATGAATAAGGGCGACTGATGATCATGAGTCAATCTCCTGTTATTGGCCAGCCTACACACAAGTGTTCTGTGTTTTTTTCTGCTCATTTTCCTCGTGTGAAATCTGCCCATGCACACCAAGTGGTCTAGATCTGTTTGTGTTACCGCTCCTTTCTTCCTGAGCACTCTTTCCAAGAAGGCAGCTTGACGACGATAGCGAGAATGATACTACTACTACTACTGTACCGACCAATTAGCCATACGCATCACTGCTCCTCGAAATGACTATAGTTACTTCTTGACACCATATAATGGGTTTTAGTCCTCGTCAATGTAATTGTTCTGTTATGTATCCGTCCGTCTGTGTACTTTTTATCCTCTACCCCTCCACTTTCAGCAAGCAAATTGGACCGTATCTAGTATAAAAACTGAGATAGTATCCATAAGGTAATACCACAGGTCCAATTGAATATTGTGTTAAAAGTATCCAAATAGGAGGGTTTTTTTTTCACCACCGCAAAATAGGAGGTTTTTTTTTCACCACCGCAAATTAGGACCCAGGACTGCTCACACCCTGGGGCACTGAGCAAATGTGGATACTGGGAATCGGTCCAAGTGATAAATAGGTTGTCATGATTCTTTGCAAGATGTCTTCCCACGATGTTTTTTGTCCTTATGCCAAATCAAACTGGTGAATTGATCTAAATTGACCAAATTCGGAAAGCTCAGATTCTACCTGTTCTCTCTTATCCCAAAAGTCGCCAAACTAACAGACTAGACCCAAATATTCGAGAAAAGAAAAGGTTTAATGATGTTAATAATTTTTATGTTTTACGTCAGTGCCCTGATGCCTAATCTGAGTTCAAAGGACAGTTACAAGGACTTGGGTGCAATCAGCTTTGACATATGACTTGTTAACGGTCTCCTTCTATTTTAACTGAATTTTTTGTCAACATCTGGACTAGTGTACTACCATATCCATGTAGCTCGGGGCAGCAATCTTTCTCTGTCAGTTAGCAATTATAGATACTGGTAATCAGTCCAAGTGATGGATAGATTGTCATGATTTTTGCAAGGTGTCTTCCCACGATGTTTTTGTCCTTATGCCAAATCAAATTTGATCTAATTTGACCAAACTGGGAAAGCTCAGAGCCTTCCTATTCTTTCTAATCCGGAAAGTTTCCAAACTACAAAACTAGACCAAACTATTCGAGAGAAGAAAGAGTTTCAATGATGTTCATACGTTTCATGTTGGGTTCTGTGCTGCGCCACGTGCACTCAATCGTGACGTTATTCCTTGAGTTTGCAGTTCGGCTGATTTGAATTGATACCTTTTCAGACCCAACACTAATCGGACTTGTTACCTACTGACAACACGTCAGAACTAAACACAGCATGATGCTTGTGCGGAAATAAAAAAATAAGGCACGAAAAGCAAACACATGGAGAGCGATACACATCATCATTACAGGTGTAAGGTACTTAAGTCATTATTTCGGAATGCGCCTTAGGCTGGGGATTTAAAATGGGTGTTTGATACCTGCAACACAATACAACAGGTAATTACTAAATGCCAAAAGACTACTAATGCGCCAACCAATCAGGAGTACCAATTGTGCTCATCTGCATAAGCTCAGTAGGAAAGAGTATAATTTGCTCCCGTCTCTGTATTTTCATCAATCCATTCTGATATCTTCAGACGAGTCATCTGACGAGCCGAGGACTTACCTAAGGTATGTGCTAAGTTACTCTACCGGCTAAACC